CATCATCAGTGTCGTCCTACTCCATGCCACAAGCCTCCCCCAATCAGCATTTCAGAGGTCTCAAGGTCTGCTGGGTGGCGACATGTCATACATCTTGCTCCATGCTTTTAGGTCATTTCCTGCATTTTTAAAAAGTCAGTGAGCATGAAGCAAGGAAATTAGTGTGGAAATTAGTCACAAACAATTAAAAGATTTCTGTAAGGACTTTAAAAAAAAAACCTTCTTCATTCTTCTTTCCTCCTCCTGTTCCATCAGTCTTCTTGTGTTACCTGTTTCTGACCTCCTTGATTTGCTTTCACCTCTGGAAGAGTTATGTATTTAACGCTAAGTTTATTTTCTAAATTGCTTCCATTGATTAAGAAACTTTTAATCAACATAACTGCCAGAAGTCACTCCCTGATCATCAGGGCAGCTTGTGGCTGTAGTTATCTGGTTATGATTAAGTCTCTCTCGCTGAATACAACCCAGAAGAAAACTTATTCAAATTATCATTAAATATTTGCTGATTACTGGCAAATATATATATTTGCTGATATATTCAAGTTAGAAGGATATTCAGGCAGCAGCATCCCTACAGCCTCATTTCCTCACTTTAATGCACAGCTTAAATAGTATTCACGATGTTACACAAGATTTCATATACCAAAACTGTACCTTTCCCAATACCCCACTGTCTCAGCACATAATTCCCCATCCCTGTTATATAGAAGTGCAGCAGAAGCAGATACAGGCAAGTAATGTGTGGCTTTTGGAAACAGGATGATGAATGAAGGTCAAACGAGATGTGATGTTAGGAGATCCGTGAATAAATCTCCCTTTGATTTAGTAGCAAATACCACAATCTCATTTTGGCTTGAACGCAGCCATTGGTGATGCCGTTTCCTCCTGTGCCATATCTTCCTCACCCACCTAAGCTACTAGTTCCCCTTGGGAGAAATAAATAGGCATTATGTGGATACCTGTAATTTTGCCACTAAGAGGAAATAGCATCTCAGGGTGAGGGAGGTGATTTCTATCATAAAAACAGTGCAAGAAAAATGCTTCTTCTGCCACCCCCCCAAGCCAGTGTCCCCATTATGAATGAAAAGTTCTCAATATATGCAGGAGATCTATTCACCATTATGTCTAGTTCAGTTCTGAAACACTCAGACAAAAAGCCTTATACAAAAGCACTTCCATTTTACCCCAGTGTCAAAGAAGCACAGCTTTTTGTCAAGACGCAAAACCTTAATGTTCGTACTAGATAAAATATTCTAGAAATTTATTCCTTTCTATATCCATTTCTTCCGTCTCCAACTCATACTGTTTCATGGCAACAAAATATCGGACAAAGGTGTTGCCTAGTGCTTCCCTGATACACTCATCTTCCTGAAGTGCTATGAGAGCATCTTCCAGCTTCAGTGGGATTATGGCTGGCTTGATCTGAGTAGGATTGGAGATCTCCTCTGATCCTTCCTGGAAGGTCAGCCCTCTCCTTATACCATCTAGACCAGCAGCAATTGTGGCTGCCAGCACCAAGTAAGGATTTGCTGTTGCAGAACCTAGCTTGTTTTCTATCTGCGTTCTTTTTTCACCATGACTTTTGACACTAAATGCACAACTGTTGTCATTACATCCCCAGCTGGCAGCCACAACATCCTTTGAATCTTTACAGTAAACGCTGTACCGTTTACGGCATCCAATGGTTGGGGCCATCAAACAGCTGAGTGCTGCAGAATGCAGCAGAAGTCCTGCAAGCCAGTTCTTCCCTTTGTCAGTGAACTCAGGGCCTCCAGGACCAAAAGAAAAGAGGTTGTTTTGCCCATTGCTGTCCCAAAGGCTGTGTGACAGAACACCTGAGTTGCAAAATCCATCCTCGGTGAAAAAGCTGGCAATATAGTTGTACTTTCTGGCCACTTCTTTAATTCCCGTTCTGAAGATGAAGGCACTATCGGCAGCACGTATGCCAAACTCAGGGTACAAAGAGATCTCCATTTGCCCAGGCCCTGTAGAAGATGAGAAGCTCTCAATGTTTGCCCCGGCATGATACATCCCATCGATGAGTTCCTG